GGACAAGGTTATACTAACCTTATACTATACTTAGTATAACCTAATCTATATTCAAAGATATAGCCATGTTAGTCCGTGGAATCAGTATGTAGAGAGATCTTTAAGCACTTTTGAGACTAACTGAAAGAAATAATGCTGCCAACTTTTTTCTTTTAATTAGCCTCAAAGCTGCTGCAAGATACTTCTAATCTAAAGTTAGCAAGAATTTTGTCTCCTTTCTTTTAGACAGTTTGTAACAATGAATGTTACTGGGTGGTAGTGCAATGCCTTAATAACAAATGGGGTAATATGCCATGTTTGCCACATTAACAATTGAGGCTTCTTCTACCATGTAACTCTGTATTCCTAAAATAATTCTCCTTTCTTTGAATTTACTATTCATACAAAAAGTTTCCAAGGGAAGGTGCATAGTAAAATGAGTATTAGAGCTCCTTTTAATGTGGGTTTAGAAGATCCCAGTTTTACATTGTCTCATCTCTAAGTAAAAGATCTTGGAAAGACCTCTTGGGAGACCTTGTGGAACTACTGCCAGTGAGAATAGACAGTTCTGGCTGAATGGCACTATGTTCTGGTTTGACATAAAACAGCACTATGGGTTGTGTTAATATATTTAAGTCATCAGCCACAAGCATTCCTGCCAAACAAATACTCCCACATACTTCATCTTTGCAACTCTTGCCATATCTTGTGTTCTCTTTTTTGTTCAGTTTATCTCACACAGACCTTTAGGGTAGAGAGAACTTGCCATGTTTATGTTGGTTTGAGTTATATGGCTTGCTTTTCATGGCTTAGTCATCTGTTCTCATGTATGCACATGTGAGGCCAGCCTTCTGTCAGTCACTTCATGCATCTGAAATCATCCTAGTTATGGGGACTTCCCAGACTACTTGAAAACTAGTTCAACATAGCTGTGCCCCTTTACACCCATAACAAAAGACTGCATTTGAGTCTTTCCTTTGTTATTTGAAGTAAAATTATTATTTCCTTCTCCTTTTTTAAGGGAAACCTGCTGTTAAAACCAGAGCAGAAAGTGTGCCTGAGGAAGACTTTGATGCTATGATTTCTGCTGCAATTAAAGCTGACAACACATGTGGTTTCTCCAAGTGCAAAGCAAGCATAACAACTCTGGGACAGCTTTGTCTGCATTGCAATAAACGCTACTGTCTCAGCCACCACATCCCAGAGGTATGTTTTGTCCTATCCTTCTTTAGGTAGGCTAAATATCACCTCCATCTCCCCAGTCTCTTGGCCGCAGGTCTTTAAGACTCAGCCTCCTTTCACATGTAGTGAGAAGATATTTTATTTGAAGCATTTAATAGGCTTGGTTTTCCAAAGAAGCTTATGATCCTAATCGAAGAGTCTTTGAACCATTCACATAATGTGCAAATCCACTGGTGGGGGACACTGCCCCTCTCCTGCTCAACATGTTATAAGAATATGAATGACCCTAAAAATGTACCTTTAGAACCTTTAGAACCTTTAGAACCTTTAGAAAATGTACCTTTAGAACATGTGATGGGGTTATGGAGTAATATAGCATAATGTGGACATAGATATCCACAAGGGACCCAGTTGACTGTCTCTGGTTTTCCTAATAACTATAAGCAGATATCCCCAATGAATGGGGGTTCTCCCCTCCCCACGTTTAACTCAGCAGAGGTCTTCCCATCATTAGGACAGTAGAATCATGGAATCCACCACCTCAACATTAGGCAGAACTTCCTGACAGTAAGGGCTGTTCAACAGTGGAACACTCACTCGGAGTGTAGTGGAGTCTCCTTCCTTGGAGATCTTTAAGCAGAGGCTGGATGGCCATCTGTCAGGGATACTTTGATTGGGAGTTCCTGCATGACAGGGGTTGGACTGGATGGCCCTTGTGGTCTCTTCCAACTCTATAATTCTATGATTCTACTGTCCTAATGATGGGAAGACCTCTGTTGAGTTAAACGTGGGGAGGGGAGAACCCCCATTCATTGGGGATATCTGCTTATAGTTATTAGGAAATATATAAAGCCGTTTCTTACTTCCCCTTTTAGTACTTTTTATAGATGTAGTTTTATGAACTTCACTGTGTCTGAAAAATCTCCCTTCACCTTTTCCCCACATTCTAATACAAGAAATTTTATTTCCTGTCAAATTTATATACTTAATTCCTCCTTTCCTGACCTTTAACAAAAATGTAATCCAGTCTCCTCCTGTTTTTCTCTTGCTTGGTTTTAGATTTTGTGTGTGGGTGGGTGTTTTCTTGAAAATGAATAGGGTTGAGAGACTATGTGTCCTTGATCTGGAATGAGCAGACTTGGCCATTAAAAGGCACTTAACATTGCAGAGCAAGGGATCTGTGTTTAACAATGTGTCACTGCTGAAATAATGTAATTCTGCAGCGTCCTTTCCATCCCACCAAGTGTCTGAGTCATTTCCTTTTTACCTCAGATCACCTTTTTCTTTTTAGCACACAATTCCCATTCATTCCCCCATCCCACTTCACTCCAGTGCCTGTTCAAAGGGTTATAGGAAGCTGGGATTCTAGGACACATGCGTATATAGAGAACTCATGATGCTAGAATGGAAATGGCTGTTGTTCAAGGGAAAAGCACAGGTAGAAGATCTCACATTCAGTCCCTAGCTTCATTAAAGACTCTCAAATGGCAAGGCTGGGGAAGGCCAGTAATGGATACTTTAGGGAAGTGCTCTTAGTTATAGATTGCATTGAGCTAATCAGTTGACTAGCATAAAGCAACTTCAAATAGCTCTGTTCACATCATGTGCTTCCCAGAAGGATATGGCCCTGCTACCAAATTTCTTATCCCCTTCACTCTGCCATACCTGTTTTAACTATATTATACACCAAGAATGGGTTTAATTAAGGGAAATTTTGCAGAACTTTTCCTAATCTTTTATATTAGTAGTTGTTATCATACTTGCGCAGAAGATGCTACAAATACAGCAGCTTCTGCCTGGATGCAGATTAGAGATATTCTCACAGATGTCAACCAAATGTATGAATCATTACCTACCCATTACTACAGCTCTAGCAAAGAAGTGGGTGGAATATCAGGTGTTCTCTGCACATGCCTTGGGGGCAATCCTAAGACTTGTATTACATGGGGATGTCTCCATTACCTGGTCCACCCTGTCAAGTCTCCCTGCATACTTCACCAACGTGGTGCATAAAAAGCCTTATGCAAAGAATAATAATATTGATTAGCATTAAGGAATATTTCCCAATGTCTTGTGTCCGTCTCTCTGATTTAGTTGAGTTAGTCAAAAGTATTGCAGCTAGCTACTGAGGACATTTTAATCTATAGCACCCAACATGGAGGAGAGAGAGAGAGAGATTTACAATATTGGCATTCTGTCTTCTGATCTTTTTTTAAAACCATAAAACAAAAGTAAATAAAGGAAGATCTACTAATATTTTCTGTGAAAAAGGAGTAAAGTAGTGGTGGCATTAAGTTTGTGCTGTGATAACTGCATATGTCTCATGGCACATTAAACCAAGAAAAATCTGAGTGAAGTGTTTGTGGATAAAGAAATCAGGTACAATCAGTTTTGCCTGAATAATACATGGTGAAGATGTCCCCAAAATTTTTGTACTCAGAAGTTTGGATTTAAAATTCTTTGTTCACATAGGATTATAGTGGCTAAAAGTTACACAAAGGACACATTGGGATCTCAGTGAAACTAAAAGGTATTTCACAGCCATGTCCTACCCAAGTGGATGAAATCCAGGCTCATGATCATGTGTAGATGAATATTGTTGTGAACCAAACTGCTATACAAGAATATAGCCACAGATTTTCCTTCCCAAAG